TAATAGTAGCGTTAAGCTAGGGAATGGTATAGGATTTAAAATACTATTGAGATAAGGGGGATATTCATATATGGCAAAGCCATTTAGCCTGAAGGACATGAACTTCTTCTTCTTTTTTTTTTCATGAGTTGCTTCTGAAAAGATTACAGCCTTGGCAAACCCAAGGGAGCAGTTCTAGTCTGCCCTACGAGGTTGTGAAGAGTGGAAATTGGTGACAGCAACAGGTCTTGTGTTTAGTTTATTAGCCGCAAACTCAATTTTGTTTCCCTTAAAGTGTTTATTTTTCTCCCATTCTTGAAGGCTGTGTTTTCTGAGTGTGGATTTCTGGGCGGTTGTTGCCCCTCAGTACATTGCTCTATACAATTTTCTGACTTTTCTAGGTGCTGGTGAAATGTTGGGGTAAGTAATTAAGTTCCTTTGAAGGCAGCATAACTTTCTTCAAAGCATTCTTTTTGTCTTTGATGCTTCGTAATTTCACTACGATATATTTGAGTGTGGACTTGATATTCATTTGCTTTCTAGAATCTGACTCTTTTATCTGTTCTAGAAAATCATCTGGCTATTAGCCTTCAAATACTGCCTCGGTGCCACCTCCTCTCATTTCTTTCTGGGACAGAAGGAACCTTCTTTCTGGGATGTTAAACCTCCTCCATTTATTTTCTAGGTCTTAAAAATGATCTTTGCCTTCTAAGTTTATTTTGTAAAATTTATTCATATATATATCGCTCAATTCTCTCGTTGGCTCCATTCTGTTATAAACCCATTAATCGAGCTTTTATTTTCAATTTAAGTGATATAATTTTTTAGACATTTCTATTATATTTTTCATTTCTAAATTATAAAATAATGGCTTGGTAGTTCATTATTTACATTACTCCAATTGTCACCCTTTTGTTCTATTTATTTAAACATATTAGGCAGTTATTATTATTATTTTTTTAAAAAATTTTTTTGGTTTTTAGTTCAAAACTTTATTTTTTTTTAAATTTATTTATTTTTTTCTTTTTTAACATTTTATTAGGGGCTCATACAACTGTTATCCCAATCCATACACACATCAATTGTGTAAAGCGCATTTG